TAGGTCTCTTTTGTCTTTGTTTTTTCTTTGAATGGCTCAACTTTCAGCAATGCTCATGGTCTGTTCAGATCCTAATCAACTACTTATTAAGAATGACTGTCATCTGCCCTGGTGTTGCCCAGTTGTCTAGCTATTTTTAGGATAGTGATATTTCTGTAACTTAAGCAAGGTCTGTTCATCCTGTAAACAAGCTTGATGCATATCTGTGGTCTGAAGAGTTTCCCCAAACATTAAATGTAATGTTTGAATTGCAGGAGAGCCTTACACGGTTAAATGTTTTAATTGTTTAATTTGCCTGGAAAAAGTTACTGTAGATGCATTTGCACTGGCACTAACTTGGTTTTGCTTAGCGGAATTTTGTTTACTAAAATTTTGCACACAATAGTAGCAAAAATGCTGGAGGCTTGCTGGTATAGCTGTGTACAAAGACTGAGGAGATGGAAACTCTGCCAAAGTGTGGAGTGAGGAATTTGAGGATAGGAGCAATAAAAGACCACTTGAAGGCATGAGTCCTGCAAAATGAAGACTGTGGCAAAAAAACTTGCAGTGTTTTCTGTTGTGTAACTTTAGCTTTCTATTTTATGTAAATATTTCCTCATTCCTGAGAAGGGGGGGGTGAGGGAAAAACATAAAATTGGTTTTCTTTTCTGCCCGTTAAAAGGGATTAAAAGATAGATTTACTATAGAGTGCCTTTTTTTTATATATTTTGCAAGACACTATGTTGGTTCTTGTGAGTCAAAATCTTTTTCCAGTTTCTAATATTACACTTGTATTAAAGAATTAGACCTTTTGTTTTTAGCACACAGATCTCTTCTGAAGCTTTTGTTCCATCTTTACAAATATCTTGTAAAGCTTTGGTGTCTCATGTCTTCATTCATGGTAGACATCTGTTCTTTGCTATAATCTTTGGTCTAACTGATTTTATTTCAAGTATACTTCCATTTCTATTCAAAAGATTAAAAAAAAAAAATGGTAGGAACAGGAAAATGTAATTTTTTTAATTTCTTTTTTTTACACTGCTCTCCTAGTAAAACTAGGTACCCAAAGCAGTGTTCCTCAGGGATGAAGTGTGGCACAACATCGTGGTCATCTGATCCAAATGTCACCTAGAGAAAAATGCCATTACGGCTCCAGTCACAGCAAGAGCCATGTCAGTGGGAACTGGTTGGTCATGTTCAATGGGTGGTTTCTTTCCAGGTTGTGGTCACTTGGATCAGTCTAGAAACTGACTGGAGGGTGGTATTTATATTGATCTGTACTGACAGGAGCATACATATATTACACTTGCTATAACTTTGTGCACAGTTCTCCTGATGCTCAAGAGTGTCTTACTTTTGAGAATGCATTGCTACTGTCTCACCCTGTAGGTATTTCAAATATCAAATGTAGAGCTTTATCTAGCAAATATTTTTGTCTTCATTCTAAGGCCAGGTAGTAATTTCTAACTTAAAAGATGTAACTGTTAATCCACAGAATAAAGAGTTACACCTGGAAGGTAAGTGGCAGGGGAAAAGTTTTATGTTCAGCCCTGTCTAATATAAATACAACAGCAAATGGATGTCAGTTGTCATATGCAAGTACAGAACACACAAAGTTTGTGGTGACAAGAAGTAATAAGTTGTCTGGAACAGTTTTTAATGCACGTGGATCCTTACTGGTGGCAACAGTTTCAGAAAACATCTGAAAATCTTATGTCAGATGTTCTAATTAGTCCTTGTATTGATGGAAGAAGACTCGATGTGGTAATTTAATTCCTGCTTAGAAATCCTGAGAATTTTAATTTATAAATTTGTCAGTTGAAAAATTTTCATTTTCTGCTCCTATCCAGTTTTGGACTTCTCTACTAAATAGTTTTGATTAACTAGAAAGCTGAAACTGAAGGTAATTCTGATTTCATTAGTGACAGGCTTGCTCTATTTAGCAGACAGTCACTTGAGTTGAAATGCAATCAAATCTCTGCTGGGTTTGTGAGATGTTTGAGAGAAACTTTGGATTATCTTTCAGTAAATCCTCCTGTGGTATAGTGTTTGAAAAGAAGCAGAAGTCCTTTACTTTGAAAAGAAAAAAATTTAGCCAGGGAAAAAAATGGGCAAGTTGTCTAGCTCATATTTCATAATGATTGGTTAAATAGTCAGATATTTAGGGTTGAGATCAGAAGAAGAGTTGGTATAATAACTGATTGGATTAGCATATATGGACCTTCTCTGGAAGAGACACTATTGAACACTACAGTTTTTTAATCTTGGGGTGGGAGAGAGGAAAGGTAGAACAAGAACCAGTCAACTCAATTGTTGGAAACCAGTCACAAACCTGGGGGGCTGAAACCATTATAAAGACTATTTTCCACTTTTACACATTTTCCAGGGGAACTACAATGCCAACAAGATAATTGATTCTGTAGAGAGGTATATTTAAGAAATTTAAGGGTCTGTAATATACAGATAAATCAGATGGTATGATCAAACTGTCTCTCTGATTTTTTTTTTTAATTAATTCCTGATCTGTTTGATCAAAATCAAATCTGTTTGATATTATTTGAGTACCTCATGGTTTTCCTACAGATCACACATAATTTCAGTGTACTTTCAACCTCTGCATAACCTCTTCAAATAGTTTAAAATCTATTAGCTGTAATTAACTCCTCTCATACAAAATTTTGATGTGGATGTCAAATGTAAATTGTTTCCTTGAAGGAAAGCGTGAGGAAGTCTCAGAGGAGGAATTCTTTTAACTTAAAACCTAGTTGCTGCATATCCATGACCAACCTCTGTGTCATTGAGAAGTCAAGTAAGGAGAGGGTACTTAAGACCAATTTTGAAAGATTTTGCAGCATATTTTAGAATTGTCACTGACATCAGTGGGTTCTTTTTTGCTTTGTGGATTCTTTGCTTTTGTTTTTAAAGTAATTGAACTTTTTTTTTTTCCATCTAAAAAGAACAAAAAGTTTTAATGTAGAAATACAAGTTTTGTTTTTTTTTCCTGAAGCTGTTAGTATCAACAAGAAGAGTCCAGCTGAGATGAGAAGTGGAAAAAAAAAGTTTTCTAAAATGTATTTTCACCCATTGTTAAGCAAATAGTATTATGGAATGGTAGTGATCTTCTTTGGTGCTAATAGGGTGCCAGGCTTGATTTCAGATATTTTTTTCATATTTGTAACCCAATGTGTATTAAAATATAATGTTTACAAATAGGTGAAAATCAACCCCAAACTGGTGGTGGTCTGGTTTTGTGTTTTTCCTGGTTGCCTCTAAAGAACACTTGAGGCATACATAGTGTGCTACAATCTGCTTCTGGGAACTTCTGCCTGCGACATCCACTTCAAATATTCCCAGCTTGAAGACATTAGAACCACATGGCTTACTGTCAACTTAAAGAAAAGAAAAATTGCCCTTAAGACTATTTTGGTTATTTTTTTACTTTGCTTCATTGTGAAAAGGCTGAAGCAGCAGATTTTTGGAGCTTCTGTAGATTCTGTGCGCATAACGTGTTTTTGTGACTAAGTTTTTTTTTTCCATTTTTAAAAAATGAAATATATCTGTTTCTCAGAACTCAAAATGCTGCATTTTTCTTGACTTTCATGAAACTTGGCAGTCAATTCTGTGTTCCTTCATCATTTCTGTATTCCCAGCTCAGAATGTCCCAGTAGTAAAGACTAGTGTGTTTTTTGCTGTTGGCCTGGCTTAAACAGTTTCAATTTTCAATTGGATAAAGCAAGTTTACAATCTGAAGTTTATTATTTGGCATTACTTTAGCAGTCAAGTGCTTTCTATCATTCAGATGATGGGAAGGGCAGATATGTTGTGTTAGGGCTGTGTTTTCTTCTGCTGTTGAGAATATATTTGCTTTTACATACTCTGAGATCTATATATCTGTCTAGCACAATAAACTAGTTTAAATAGCCAGAAGAAGGTTTAGAATATATTTTTTTGAGAACACTTCATCCCATCACAGGAAGAAAAAAAAATAGCACTGTTAAGCTGCAAAAGGGCAGAGGACTCAAGAACTGGAGAAGGAAATGGGCATTACCTGCAAAATCATTTCCTTGTTTCCAATGCTTAGAAATTTACCCTGTAGTTAATGTTTTTTGTTGTTGTTTTTAATTGAATCAATATTTAATGTTTTGATGGTGATTTTGCATTGTGGCACTTTATGCTTCTGGACACCAGATGGTGCTGCTAAACTATCTAATGTTTAATTTTTACTCTTTTTTTTGAGTGATTGATGCCTGATTTAGTTCCTAAGTTAGGTCTATACTTTCAAACCGGGCATACATTTCACAATGCAGAAATGTGCCTGGTAGGTCAGCACACCACCACCTGCTTTTTAAGGACAGTGGTCTGAAAAATGTGAACTGGAGTGTGTTGTTGAATCAATATTTGATATCACACTGGGCAGAACCAGCTATCAGCTGTTATTCCTCCTTGGGTGTATGCTTAGTAGAAAATCTTAATTTATATACTTGACACTTCAGAGATTTGATTTGTTAAAGTCACACTTCAACTTGATGACTTTCATCAGAAAGTGTGGAGACACTTATTACCAGGTTAAAACTGTGAAGGAGAGTTCTATAGACTGATTAAATATAATGAAATGATGATGAGGGTGACTGAGTTTGGAGAGTTTTTTAGACATTGTCTGCATTAAGCTTGAGTAAGGCTGTCTAAAAGCTTCTAGTTGTCTGTTAGTATTTGTTTGAGAAGACATGATGCCTCAGGCATGCATTTGTATTGTGGGCAACATTTATAGTACTATGGTGTACATGGGGCATTTCATTTTTTTAAACTGATTAGCATATTGAATAAACTCATCTGGTAATACTAATTGTGGGGCTGAAGGGATAGAACAATACATTGGGGTTTTTAGCTGAATCCCAAAGGTTGGTGGTACAGGTTATCTCTGAACTGTAAATAATGGATTCAAATTTAAGCAGTACAGAAAATTATGATACATATTTTACTGTATTTTTCTTACAAGTTTTATTTCTTTTGTAGATCCCCATATAAAAGTCTCTGGAAAAAAGGAAAATGTCAAAGAAGCGAAAGAGAAAATCATGTCTGTCTTAGACACAAAAGTAAGAGAGAATTTATTTAGAATGACAGACCCCTAATTTTGTAGTGACATTGATCTCTCTTTAAATGCACTGTGTTAAACAGAAGGTCTTTATGGATACTCCAAAGCAGCCTCCAGTATTGTTTCTGGATGTTGATATTTGGACATAGTTAAACATGCTACAAGAAAATACTTTAAGTGCTTTTTCCTGCTCTGAACTACATAGAAATGTATTGGCTTAGATTCTTTTTTTTACTTTAAGATCTGAAATACAGGTTCACTGCTGTAGATTATGCAGCCACCTCAGTGAATCCAAAATTTTGTTTCTGTTTGAAATTTAATTTTAGGAGCATTTATACAGTTCTATTTTTAACTGTTACTACATTCTTATATACTGAAGCATTAGGAACAGACTTTTTAATACATCTAGGTTTTGGCCAGAGGTCTCATGTGTTCATCAGATATTCATTTCATCCAATAGGGAGTCTTTTGGAGCAGTGTGTATGCCTTCTGCATAGTTGTTCATCAGCTTTTTCATTCTCAAACAGATTGCCAAAAAGAGCTGGTGATAAGTGCCATTTTTTGAACTGTTAAGAACACTGTTATGGAATGTTGACAGTATGACTTTTAAGAGCAGCTGTAGGAAGTGTTTGTGTACTTGAAAAATGGATATACCAGAAAAATTTGGCATGTTTGAAGGAGAAAAAGAAAATCTGATATTTCAGGTCCCATGGCTTTGTTTTGCCCAAGTCTTCACTGTATGATCCTTTGAGATCAGACAAGGGTGTGTGCCTATGATTGAAATGACATATAATTAAAATAAATTAGAATGGATTGTAAAAGGACATTTAAGTCACAGTTGATAAAATCTAGGGTACGTTTTTAAAAGCCTTGCACATTTTTTGAAAATATACCTTTGGGGTATTTATTTCCATGTTATTTCCTCATTGGGAAGAATATGTGACTAGTTCAGCATCTGACTAGGATCCACATTAAAAACATCTCACTTGAGTAGACGCTAAACCAGTTAAGCCACAACAAAAGTACTTTGGAAATACAATTTTGAATGTCATTCTTGAAGTTACATTACTGTAAAATACTGAGGTGCTGCTGTGAACAAATCTAATCACACGTGCTTGCTTTCCAGAGCAATCGAGTGACCTTGAAGATGGATGTTTCACATACAGAACATTCTCATGTGATAGGTAAAGGTGGCAATAATATTAAAAAGGTAATGGAGGAAACGGGATGCCATATCCATTTTCCAGACTCAAATAGGAATAATCAAGCAGAGAAAAGCAACCAAGTAAGTGTTGCATAGTATTTAACTCACTTATATTGTAAATCCCAAGAGTATAAAACATTTCCAAACCACTTTTGTCAGTTTGGGTTCTTTGGGGATGGTGAGTTCATGTTCAGGGAAATAGATTTTTGGTGTTTATACTCTGTGGAAAGCATGGGACTTCTTAAGTGGGCAAATCTTTAACAACAGATGGAAACAATTTGTGATGGTTGACCCATAAATAATTTTAATTTTTTTAAAACTAAAATTGGTTTGAGCATACAGAAGTCAGCAACTTAGTGTGAATGGTAGAGAAGCAGTATGAAAAACACTGTTTTTGTAAATTTTTTTCTGTGCAACACCGGACTTAACATTGATTAATTTCTTAGTGCTTTTGGCTTGTGATGTAACTTAGCTGAAAACTGAACTTGTTGGATAGACAGCAGAAATTAATGTCCTATTTGTAGGAGTTCGGCTTTATTAGAATAAGTCATTTTACCTGAGTTCTGCATTGTGCTTTTGTGATGCTGACACTACTGGAATGTTTACTTTCATATCTTTCATCACTGTGTTTAGAATTCCCTCTTGTACATCCTAGTGGCTGCTGAGCACAATACAGTGATTTCAAAATGTTAAAACAAATCTACTGCAGTTGCACGTTCACACTGAGCACATGTGTACAACAGTAATTCTGTTATTTAGTCCAAGTAACTGTATTGTTTGATGTATCATTTATTTTTTTTCACTACTGGAATGTTTACTTTCATATCTTTCATCACTGTGTTTAGAATTCCCTCTTGTACATCCTAGTGGCTGCTGAGCACAATACAGATTTCAAAATGTTAAAACAAATCTACTGCAGTTGCACGTTCACACTGAGCACATGTGTACAACAGTAATTCTGTTATTTAGTCCAAGCAATTGTATTGTTTGATGTATCATTTTTTTTTAGTTGCTTAAACCTCTGTAACCTAAGATGCCATAGTATTTCTTTAAAATTTTTCTAAGTGGTTTTAGTTTTCAACTGCTGATTAGAGACCACTTAGGATGTCACTGGGTGTAAAATAAGTGATTTGAAAGAAAAGAACACAGATATCTGAATAACTTTTCCAATGCCTCAGTTGAAAATATGGTGCTGTATTTTCTATACTTTTGCTCTTCCAGGTGTCTATTGCAGGACAGCCAGCAGGAGTGGAGTCTGCAAGAGTTAGAATTCGGGTAATAGTTTATTTCAGTATTAAGTTCCCTTGAAAACACCTGAAAGGAAAATATAGTTTTGAGAACACTAGGGTTGTCTGACTTGTTTCTATATTTCTGTGGTCATAAGACAAAAATGTGACTATCCCAATGAGTAAAATGCAAAGGGTATTATAAAAACAGTGATTCACATTTTTGGCCCAATTTTTGACTAGCCCAGGGTGAAGCTTGACCACAAAGTCTACAGTATAAGCAAGAGGTTCAAAATTACATCTTAACTTTCCCTGCACAGATGGCCTATAGAAGCTTAGGCATCCAGTGTGAATCCATGATTTGGGAAAAGCAACTGCTGCCTTTTCAATTTTCATGTGTTATTTGTGTAATTAGTTTGGATAGAATTTTATAGAATTCAGTTCCATTCTCCACTCATAGCATTTTTCAGTCCTTACCTTTTAATTTTGATTAGTATTTGTATTTGGCTGTATTGTTGCTACGTAGTTGCAAGAGATGCTGGGGGAGGAGGGAAACCCAAACAAAACCAGAAACCACCAAGCCTATGCAAAACAAAAACCTCTCCTCTGCCTAGAAAAATCAGTGTCTTTTTCCAGCTCAATATTTGATAACATTTTAGCTGCTGAATCCTGTGCAGAGGATGTATTGTGTCAGTTTAATCATCAATGACCAACACGTTATTATTCAGTAATAAAATTGTCGCTGTTTTTGTATGATTTTGGTTTTCAATATTTGCTTTTTAATGTTGTTGTAGGAGCTGCTTCCATTGGTACTCATGTTTGAATTGCCTATTGCTGGAATTCTCCAACCAATCCCAGATCCAAACTCTCCCACAATTCAGCATATATGTCAGACATATAATATTTCAGTTTCCTTTAAACAACGCTCTCGAATGTATGGTGCTACAGTCATTGTCAGAGGGTCACAAAATAACACTAGTGCTGTGAAGGTAACGTGTCTTAAGTAGATTTATACATGTCATAAATATATCCATAATTTAGATACTTAAGAACTATATTAATCTTATATCCTGCTTAATCAGTATGTGTTGTTATTGTATAATCACTTTCGGAGCCTGAAGGTTAGGGGTGGTTTTTAAACTGAAGTGGTTTGGGTGTAAAAATGCATAGAAACTAGTTTTAAATTTAGGATTTAGCATTCTCTGTGCTGAGCTTTTAATCTGTTTTTTTTTTTTTTCCTTGCACACCTGTTTAGGTTTCTTGCAATTCTGGAATATGTGCTAATCTTTTAATTAAAAAAAAAAAAGCCAACCCAAACAAACCATCTCCCCACACCCCTCCCAAAGCAAACAAAACAAAAAATGCAAAGAATTAAAACAAATGAAACCCCCCTCCCATGAATTCTTCATGCTTCGTGGTCTTCTCAGTATGGACTCAAATATGTAACCTTGGAAGTTACCCTAATAGTCAATAAAACTAGTCTTGCAAAACCAGGTTTGGGAGATGTGAATTTGACAGTGAAGTGAAGGAACTGCCGTGAGACTATTTATCTTAATAAAATAAAAAAGTTTCCTGGTTAACAACTGGCAGTGTGACAGATGGATGTGGTCTCAGGTGGGTGTATCTCAAGCCAGTAAGAACGTTTTAGGCCAAAACTGAAAGACAAATTTTTGCATGTATACCTCTCCAAATCCCTATTGACTCTCTTATTGCTGTATGCAGGCACAGACACTGGCTGTCAAACACTATGTTTGGTCACAAAATGAGACTAGTGGCTGGGTTTTAGTCCCTCTGTTAACTTTAACAAATCAATCAGATTTCTTTAAACAAAACAGAATTTTCTTTACCTTGAATGTAGAATGCATAGCAAGTAAGGGAACAGTCTGAAATGTTGTTTTGTATGCCTGTGAGCACTGTTTCACCCATTTCTTGCCTTTCCCCTGCAGGAAGGAACAGCCATGCTTTTAGAACACTTAGCTGGGAGCCTGGCCTCTGCAATCCCTGTGAGCACCCAACTAGACATTGCAGCACAGCATCATCTCTTTATGATGGGTCGAAATGGCAGTAACATCAAACATATCATGCAGAGGACTGGTGCTCAGATCCACTTCCCTGACCCTAGTAACCCACAGAAGAAATCCACTGTCTACCTCCAGGGCACAATTGAGTCTGTCTGTCTTGCCAGGCAATATCTCATGGTAAATACTTTCAGTGAAACTTGCTTGAAAAAAATTGCCAGATGATAGAAATTATGCTCATTCTGCATGTATTTGTGGATCAAATGTAAGTCAGTGTTAGAGAAGAAGAGTTTCTATTAACATTACAAAAAGCTGGTTCAGTTGAGTGCTCTTTCTTTTGGCAATGGTTTGTGTGTGTAGTTATCTAAAGTACTTGCAATCTCTGGTATCATGATTTGAAAAACTACCTTGTTAATATAAATGCAATATAAGCTATTTAAATTGGCAATAACAATGTGCTTCTGAGTAGAAGGCAGATTTTTGGAGGGGTTTGTTGTTGAGTGGCTTGGTTTGCTTCACCAGCCTGTCTACCCTATTCGCCAGGTGAGTAGGTTTCTCTTGGGAGTAAGTGGCAGGAATTTCTTGTTCCCTGTCTAGGCCAGTTTTCAAGGCAACTGAGGAACCATAGCAAATAATTACCTACTCTCCACTCTTACATTCTTTGTAGCATCATAGCCTCAGTACTATAGGGCCTTCTATAACAATAGCTCTGGTGATAAATATTATTAGTAGAGTTTTTTGTTTTATTATTCCTTAAGCTTCATAGGAGCCTTCAGGCTTTGTTGTAGCACATTTTTACATGTATATATGGATGTTTACAAACAACACATGGGAAGATTGGACTCAAATTCAAAGCTTTTGTCAGGATAAGCTGTAAAGCCATTGTATTCCTTAAGTCCACATCTCTTGCATTGTGCTGTGTCTTGCTGTACAGTGGAAAACAAATGTGGTACCTTTCTTTTTATACAGTTATATTCATGATTATTATATTCTAGGTTATTATTGTCTGTAAATACTAAGAAGTAGCCTTATTCAATTTATTTCCTTATGAGGTTTAACCCATACTTTTCTGGAGGTTCATTGAAGTAGAAGGAAATACAAATTATCATATGAACGTAAAAACACAGCTTTGTTCTAGAAACTTAGAATTATGCAAGGGTCATGGTTTGAAATATTGAAGTTTGAATTAATTCCAGACACATCAGTACAACTTAGTATCCTGCATCACATCCACTGTATCATTCTTTAAGAGCTGTACTGACCAGGAGACTTGATGTGTCTCAACTCCACAGGCATTACATGTCCTGAACCTATTGTTTCCAGTTTTGAAGGTAAAATAAGTATTAAAAGTTCTGTATCTTCCCCTCAGCCCATAACTTTTGGGCTCAGCTGTATTTTTATTGCCACTAAAAAATACTGAGGCTTATTTTTTTGATAGCTTTGCATATAATAAAGATGACTGTATTACATGTAGCTACAGTAGATATTGACAATTTAGTTTTGTTCACTTCCTGTCAAAGAACATTATTTGGTCCTGTTCCTCTCATCATCATCATCATCATCATGCAGATGCTCTAAACATACAATAATGAAACAGTGGTGTAAAAAACAGCCTTTTAATATCCTTATACAACCTGGCATTTCAACTTTGAAACGTCTGGTTTTCCTTGTTAACCTGTAGCTGCATTTTCATTCAGCAGGCTTTTGGTGTGACCTTCTGATATTACTTTAACTTTTCTGAAAAAAAATCCAAGTATGAAATCTCCTCCATGGTTCTGTTGATATAAAATCTTTGATTATTGTTTTCAGAGTTTTTTAAATACTTTATTCATAACTGTTCTTTTCAGACAAATTCACTTTATGGAGTTGAGCTGTTTATCAGCCTTCCTGAAGTCAAAATGTTTGTTTCCTTGATTTAATTTTCCTTAAGTTAAAATTACTTCAATTTAGGTTTGGGAAGTACTGTGTGGCTATGGGTGGTACTGCTGAAGTGCTATTTAAGTATTTTTATATTTGATGCTATTGACCTGAAAATTAAATACACCTATTTGCTGCTTTTCATTCTGGAAACTCATTTAATAAGAACACTTTCTTGAATATATCTTACTGTGGCTTTTTTTCTGATACATGTGATACTCCATTTACTTTATTGTGAATTAAACTCAAAAAAAATAGGATTTATTTTTCAGATTTTATACAGTCTGTTTTTGTTACTTTATGAGAAGGAGCAATCTGATAATTTCTAGATATCGTGTCACTATTGAAGTTTTTTTGTTTCTTGAGTTTGGACTTTTTATGAAGGGGTGCTTTGTTTTTTGTTTTTACTTAGTATTTCAAGTGTTTCAGAGATGTCATCCACATCACTGGAAAATACTTTTTTTAGCTGATCTAGGACAAGGAAAAAGAAAAGTAAAAATTAAGACTTAGTAAACGATGACTTGTAGAGAAATGTCTTCAGAATTGTGTATACTTACACAATTTTAATATTAACCATTTGACTACGTAAGGGCCCTGCCATCAATTCCTGACAATATTGTGTCTGATATATCATAGGTAGAAGTGATTTGTGAATTTGGATCCTCCAGACACCTCTAAGACTGTATAAACAGCTAATGCAGGGTGCGTGTGTGTGCTTATTGGAATGTGGAATATTCAACAAATCATTTCACCCCTATACTGCCAAACTGTTCATGCAGAATTCCAGATACACCTGTATTCTTGCATCCAAAGAAATGGCTTTACTTCATTTCATCCTTGCTATTTTTCCTGAATTTACTGTACTATGATGTACATGTGTTACAGTTTTATTTCAGTTTATTGCTATGGGAGAAGCATAGGTTAGATGTTTTATGAGTCCTTGCATCTTGTCTTTTCAGGGTTGCCTTCCTCTTGTGCTCATGTTTGATATGAAGGAAGAAATCGAAGTAGAACCACAGTTTATAACACAGCTCATGGAGCAGTTAGATGTCTTCATAAGCATCAAGCCGAAGCCAAAGCAACCAAGCAAGGTTGGTGAAAAGCTAACAGTCTTTTTAGGCTTTCACGACAACTTTTCAGAGCTGATGAGCATGTCTGCTCCCCCTGGCTAACTTAATGGATCATTAACTTGTAAAAGGTGTATATATTTTTTTGTTTGAAATGTTGTTTTAGATGTTATAACAACTCTCCTTTAAGATGATGTGGCAATATTTGAAAATATAGAGATTAACTTATGTATGGACTATACTGATAAAAGAAATTACGAGGAGACAAATTCTGACTAGAAATCTTGTTTTATTTCTCAATAAACTTGCAACTCTGTCACATAACTGGAGTGTCCTTTAGCAATTAGAATTAAACAAAATAAAGCAGAAAAACAAACAAACAAACAACAAAACAAACAACAACCCAAATAACATGACTAGGAGAGAAGTCTGTTCTGCACAAGATGTTGAAAAGAAGCAAAAGAAACAGAATTACAAAACACTTCTAATGAGAGATTTTCATTGTCAGATATTCAGGAAGGGATAGATATTCACTTCAAGGTATAGACCTCAGATAAAAGACAAGATTTCAATTGCTGATTCACTTTTCTAGATCTTGGGGTACTTAGGATTTGGTATACCTAAACAAGGTACTGTGATAAGTATTTTTCTTAGGCAGAAAGATCTTTCATCACTGTCTTTGTCAAGTGCATACAAACTCCCCCAAATTACCACGAGGGCCACTGCATTTCAGTAGCTGTTAATCAGCTGTCTCACACTTATGTTGCTGATAGCTTTGAAGGGGTATTAAGAAGAGTTTTGTTTCAGATCCATGCTATGCAGTTGTGTTACTCACAGCTTTTCCTTTTGTTGTTTTTGTTTTGTTTTCTTTCCCTCCAGTCTGTGATTGTAAAAAGTGTTGAACGAAATGCCTTAAATATGTACGAGGCACGGAAATGTCTCTTGGGACTCGAAAGCAGTGGAGTTGCCATAGCATCAAATCCTTCTGCTGTCTCGTGCCCTGTTGGTCTGTCTTGCCCTGGTTTGGATATCTTGTCCTCAGCAGGACTGGGACTCACTGGGCTTGGTACGCATTAAATATTATATTCTACTGAGTACTTCTTAGAATGGTTCATTAAATATTATATTCTACTGAGTACTTCTTAGAATGGTCCATTCAAATGTGCTTGTGAGAAAAAGGTTATAGCCTGAAATGTAAGTAAGGTTGTGTAGTGCAGTTGCTTTCTTGATGCTTCTTTGAAACACAGAGAAGCCATAGAGGGAATATAAAGGGATGATGTGACTGAGAAGCAGCTGGTGCAGACTCTGTTATGACAGCAGAGTCCAGTAGGACATAAATGATGCTCCAGTTCTTCTTGGATATATGATTCCTAGTTTAAGAACAAGCATTCTTAATGTGCTCTGTACACCAAGTAGGAGGTGTAAAGTTAAAATTTATTTGTAAAATATATGCTAGTGCAGTTCAGGGGGATTTTGTTTTTAATTGGTACTTCTGTGCAAAATATTGTTCTGCAAATCTTAGCTAAATATTCACTTACATAATATTTGCAGGCCTTCTAGGTCCAACAGCCCTGTCAGTCAACACTTCAACTACTCCAAACTCTCTGTTGAATGCCCTTAATAGCTCTGTGAGTCCCCTGCAGAGTCCAAGTTCAGGCACGCCTAGTCCCACACTATGGGCAACGTCTCTTGCTAACACAAATGCCACAGGTTGGTAGAAGTTCCATGTGAATTAAATGACCTAGGTAACACTAACTCTAATTAGAGTGGCAATTGATAAGTCTGGAAGCATTCATTCTTTAGAACTTGAATAATTTTTATATTTATAGTAATACAGATAACTTTAAATCTGGATATTTATTCATAACTTAATATGAACTTACGGCATGCTGTCACATGCAGTATTTTCATCTGATTTATGTAGAAAACTCTTAACCTACAGAGTACTGGTTAGTTAAAACATTAAGGTTTTGGCATGCAATTTTAATGGAAACTGTGGTGGATCAAAGCTATGTAATGGTAGAGATTGATATAAAACTACTAAATGCCTGAGAAAGTTAAATGAGAAACTTAATCAGAACATAACCAAATTTTGTTACAGGTTTTTCTGCTATTCCACACCTAATGATACCATCTACTGCCCAAGCAACCTTAACTAGTATTCTCTTGTCTGGAGTACCTAATTACAGTCAAAACACTCCATCTCCACCACCTGGCTTGACTCCTGTTGAAGTCCATGTTAATGGCATGCAATCAGAAAGTAAAAAAGTCTCACCTTTAAATGGTCATGTCAAGGTAGGTGATATTAACTCTGGAGAAGCAGATCTGCTTATTTGACCTTTAGTAACATAATCTGAAAGAGAATTCTAGCTACATTAGTAGCTTCTTACAGCTGTGAAGTTTAGAAATAGAACAGTGGTGTTTGCAAAATATGACTTGAACTGGAAAATGAAACATTCGAACATACTGTTCTATATTAGGAGAAAATGTCTTGGGTTTCTGCACAGACAGAGAATGAGAAGTCTTTCAGTATTTCCTTAAGTGTAGCAGTCACTTCAGTGATTTTTGACACTCCTTTCAGACCTCAAATATCAAGTATGCTGCACTGTCTGCCACATCGCTAGGAGAAAATGTGTTGAGCACAAACCACAGTGATCCAGTGAGACAAGCAAGTACTCACAGTGCCTCAGAACAAGTGGCTGCCAAGTCAAATAGTCCAGAAGGTAAGATTTTTGTCATTATATTCTTTTGTCTCATAGTGTTTGTGCAGTCTACAGTTAATGAAACAAAAAGTAAATCTTGCCAGTGCATTGATTTTGGAAAAATGTTGCTGATCTCCCAGGTATGTTGTCAAAGGTAGTAAACAGAAGTTGTATTTTCTGAGTTGTGCTGTTCCTAGGAACACCTTAAGTCAACAGAAATGTGCTTGTAACATTTTATTTATTCCCTAAGAGCAGAGGGAAATAACCTGTGAATATTTTAGTATGTTTTACAGCAGCTTAACTTCATTGCTTAAAACAATCTATGCCTATTTAAATAATGTTGTGGTTTTGCTTTTTTAATAAGAGGAAAGAATTAATTCCTTTGAGAAGGTTATTGCAGAAAAATTGTGTAGGCCAAACCTAGATGACACTGACAAACAATTTATCTGCATGTTTTATAACTGCATTTCAGTTATGCTGTCTTTTAGAAGCCAAAGGAACTAAAGAACTATTCCTGTCATTCTTGGAGGGAGGGAAAGCCTGGAACTGCCTTTCAGACTTGAACTACTGTGTAAAGCTCCTGTTTCCTTTGCAAATACTGATCAACAAGGAAATCCTCTTTTATTAAGGGTTATGGTCTGACTTGAATAAAAAGTACATTGCCCAATTAAGGTGATAAATATTTGTAAAAACACATTCTAAAGATATCTGAATATTAGTGGGGAGTATTTAGTACAGGAAAAGTTATCGAAGCCCCTGGCAAGGTTTATTGAAACTTGATATAATATCAGATTTGTTCCAAGTACTTAATAACTTTTGATTGTCAGTTTAGACTGACAATAATTATATATAATTAATACTACATTGATTTAATATTATTTTTACTTACTTTTAAAAATAAGTCTGTTTCTATGTGAATGCTGATACCACTTTTGTGCATCTGAACTTACGTTTCTGAGTACTTAACGATGACCAAGTTATTATCTCTGAAGATTTCAGTAATTCTGTAAAGAGGAAGAGCAGGTTTTGTTCTGCAGTTGTCATTCCTTCAGTAAGTTCACTAGAACATAAGAGGGTTTTTGTTTAACTATGCTCTTTATTGGTCTTGTAGGTTGCAATGATGCCTTTGTAGAAGTGGGCATGCCGAGAAGTCCGTCCCATTCAGCCAATACCAACGACCTGAAGCAGATGATGAGTTCTTCCAAACAGGGCTGTGCTAAGAGACAAACAGTTGAATTACTGCAAGGCACTAAAAACTCTCACTTACAGTAAGTTAAATGTACAAATACAGATTAATGGAGCTTTTGCCATGCAAAAACACTACACATTTTTGTGGGCAAAAGGGATGGTTCAGATA